AAAAGCATTCGATTCCTATAATGATTACTACTGTATAAATTTAAATGGTGAAATTACATTAGAAACGAAAAATGCTCAGATGATAATTTTTAAGTGATATCAGATAAATTTTTGACTGTTTCAAAGTATCCATATTCTTTGCAAAATTGAAATCTCATCTGCTAAACGTAGGTTGGGATTGAAGTTACGCAAATGTAAATATATTGCAACACTCTTGGAAAATTCTTCCTTGTCCTGAATTTTAAAAACGCATGACATACAAGAGAAAATAAGGAACAAGCAAAGATAACAAATTTAAGTTAGCATCTTCAGTGTAAAATCAACGGTATTACGCCATCTAATTGAATGAATCTTATAATTCATAGGCAATACCACCTGAATAATTCGAAAACAATACTACTTTTGTAATCTTTTTTATAATTTTATAATTTTTTTATAATTTAAATGTTCCAAATACCGAATGACACTTAAGTGCGTGCGACTCCAAGGCATGAAAGGTATGAAAAGGTGTGAAATCTCCAGTTAAAGCACAACTTACTTTTGTTGTTCTGGTTTTATGGCTTATTCCAATTTTACCTGCTATTAATTTAAATTATAATATTCATAAATTAGCGTGCTTGACGGAATATTGAAAGAGAAACCGCTTTTTGACGGGAACTTTAGTATTTCTATGACAAAAGAAAATAACGTTTAAAACAGCCTTACATTTGACAAATCTTTTTAAATTCTTCTAACAAATCGTTCTCCAACATTATAAAGTTATAGTTGCTATGGTTAGAAGGAAATTTGTCTTACGGATGCAATTATGCAACTATTGCATTTATTCGATATAATATCAACTTTATGTTAAAAGCAGAAGTAAGGTCAATTACTGCTCAAACTTCATCATTTCAATTTGTAACATTGAAATTTCTTTCTTAGAATAATACAAAATATGGTTTGCTTGTTGCGAAGTAGATTATGAATTCAATTGTAACATCGTACGATTTTCGTATTCATATTAAAATAATCAAAGGAGGAATTTTAAATATATTTCATCGATTTATATAGTTTGAGAAGAGTAAGATTAGCTTATTGAAAGAATTAATGCAACAAATTAATCGAAATGATTATTAACATTTTTATAAAAATTTATATCCCAACAACTAAAGTCAGAAACTTTCCTGTCCTTGGATTTTCCAACTGTTTCCAGAGTTTTAAGTTTCACACTTCTGGCCGCTCCTACCTTACTGAGGTTCAACTGATACTTTCATCAAGGGAACCAAAAGAACTTGCTATATTTCGACTACTGACTATATTGATTAACGAGATTTTCGCAGTTGTTATCATACAATAACGACATTACCAAGTTCTGTAAATATTCGATTAGCTTTCAAATATGCTGAATTGGCACACTTATTACTTCTGAAATTCATTTTTTTTTTTTTTTTTTTTTTGGTAGTTCTATTTGAGAGATATTATTTTTTACGCTTAGTTATGATAAGGATATAAGTTGATTGTGTCGCAAATTTCAAATATTGCGAAGCTCCATATGTCGCGAATTTCAATATCGCGAAATTCCAAATAAATAATAAAATGAATTTCTTATTTAAATTGTAAATGAATGTTAACAACATTACAAATCATTTAATCATTTTACATTCCTTACATTTTCCTTTCTAAAAAAAAACATCTTTTTTTTGGCTTTGCATGTCTCTCCTTGATGACTATCTTTGAGGCAGATTGTACACTTCCTCAGTGTTTTGAGGCGCTTCATTCGGCCTTTGACCGTTGAATAGATATCACAATCACTATCCCAGTGATCACGTGAGCAAAATATGCACGGTCTATTCCTGCTTGTTGGGCTTCTTGTTTCTCTATGGTTTGTTTGCATCGTTGATAGGGCTGAAGTTCTTTCAGGCCTATACATTCGTTTTTGCTCCCTTTGATTGTTGTAGGTTTGCTATCAGCCCGAAAATTCGAATACTGGTCGATTTTCACTTGTTGATTCACTTCTACCAAATCCGATAGGAATTTTCTTAATTTTTGAATCGTCCACGGTTTGTCTATTTTCCTTTGAGTGTATACCTTATTAAGAATCCAGGATGGCATCTTGCTTTCTATTATGGATTCGATATTTGGATGTTC